CCGGATGTCAAAGTGTTTATAGAGAGATCAACAAGAAGATACCCTTTGTCAACTGATACTGAAAACAACAAGTCTAGTTTTCTGCTTTCCAGTACTAACAGGTACCTTAGATGAAACACGTCTAGTTTACAGAGAGTGTGATTGGCTACAGTTGAGAGATGAGGTGGTCCACCAAAGGGTCCTCTTGGATAGTCCAAATGATTGAAGGCAGCTGTTCTTGCCTAACAAACAGAGAGACTGTACTAACAGCTTTGCATGATAAACACAGCCATGTAGACCCAAGGAGAACCTTCAAGCTATTCCTTCTGCAGAAACATTATGCCTTAGATAAGTGACCAAAGTTTGGTAAAACTGGTATTTTTCCAGCAACAGTTTTAGCTCCTTGTGTAGTGTCTACAGTACATTCTCCAATCATTCTTCCTGCTTCTCCACGGTTTTCCCGAAAACAATGATGGCAGATGGTGCAGCTGTACACTGCTCTCTGATGGTGGAATTGATTTGCTAAAGGAATTGAGGCTTTTCGCTTCAAAATTTTTACTTAATTTAGTGAATAAAGTGAAGTTGTGTTGATTTCAAACACCTAATCATGTGGTGTCCTTGTATATGATTGGGTATTCTTTGCAAAGTGAATTTTCAATCAGCTTAACCTCCTTAACTTTACAAAATGAACATGCTGTACTCCTTCTCCTTCCCAGAGTTTCCCTGCTGTAAATTACGCCTACCAATAAAATAATGTGTTTGAATGTTTCTAATAATGTACATGTTTGTAACAGGCACCTCTTGGTAGGAACAATTAACCAGGTAAATTAGAAAGCCTGCTCTAATTGCTACTGCCCCCCTTATGACAAACTGCACCAGCAACATCTGTCATTGCCCTCTCCTCCACTAACCATTCATGTAAACACAAACATTTAGTAAAAGTGACACTAAACAATATCCCCCCCCCCCAAAAAAAAAAAAAAAAAAAATCTATACACTTCCACTACTTAATAGCCCTGCAGTTTTTTTTTAAGAACTTGTTTCTTACTGTATTTTTCTGCCTCCTTGTAACCTCCTCTGTGCGCCCTTGAACCTCTCCTTTTTCCATGTGACAAAGCTTATGGCGCTACCCTAAGCCAGGAATCAGAAAGAAATCACCCTGCCGACATAGGAAGTGGGAGCAGCATCCACAAGTTACTCCAGTAACTGCGTGTGATAGAGGAATGGACACTGCTTAGACCAGTTCTTGGAGTCTGGTGTATATGGGATGGCCTCAGCCACGCTATCTAATGCGTTTCGCCCAGCCCACTGGGGCTTGATCACAGAAGCATTATGATCAAGCCCCGGTGGGTGGGGCAAAACGCATCAGAGGGCATGGCCGGAGCAGTGGTTGAGGCCATCCCATATTCCAAGGACTGGTCTGAGCAGCATCCATTCCTCTATCACATTCTCTTTTTCTCCCTCACATTTTGTTTGGAACGGGCAGAGCATGTTAGCTGCGGTCATGTGCACTGTTGTATGCACAATACAATCCCCATAGTCCATAGACACTAGTTCACCTAGGGAGCAAGCAACAGGTTGGCTATGTTCCTACATACAGTGGGACCATGGGGAATGAACGTAGCCACCCTCTAACAGGAAGTCAGCTCACAGCAGCAAAAATAAAAATTTGGAGGAGATGGAGAGAAATAGCAGGTACTTTTTGACATTAAGACTACTTACTTAAATTGTTACTAAACCCAGGACCCTGCATTCACTAAATCTGATCTCCCACAGTACACAGAATATGGAAATGCAATTATTTTAGTACATATAAACTGCTAAATACCTTTTCTCATCGAGTTGTTTTCATTCTGCTCTGACTGCCCTATGAGGCTGCAGAACCCTGATCCTTTGTCTGGACAGCACTGAATGGCCCTGTGCTGATCACATGCACCCTCCCAAGAAAAAAAAAAAACTCTAGGAATACTCACCAAACTGAGCATATGCAGCTTGCCCCCAAGGCTCTGTTCTATCAGTAGATGGATTGGGGACAGTGGAAGAAGGGGAGGATCAGAGAAGACAGGACCAAACAGCCTTTTTACACAGTGCAGAGGATTAATGCCTTAGGTTCCACAGTGAGTATAACAAGTGTGCTATACTGCATATACAAACCGATTTTACTGTTGTGGGTTTAGTAGCACATTAAAAAGGAGAACTAAAGTGACACTTTCAAAAACTAGGAGCAGACAGGCTCTTTATTGCAAAAGAGACATACAATGGCAGTTTGCGGTCTTCTTTACAGGTGTACCTCAGTTTACAAATGCCTCGGTTAACGTTTTGGTTTACAATGAAAATTCAGTTAAAATAATGCCTCGGTTTACGAATTTTTCACAATACAAAACGTCCTGGAGAATGCATTAAATTTGTAAACTGAGGTACACCTGTATACACACACACACTAGATATAAAAAACTTTTTTCAACTTTAATGTGACCTATAAAAACTGTACAACTCAATTCAAAAACAAACTGAAATCTTTTAGGGGGGGGGGGAGTAAACATAAAAAAACTAAAACAATGTGGTTGCATATGTGTGCACACTCTCTTATAACTGGGGATGTGGCTGTGTTCAGAATTAAGTAATCACATTCAAAATCATGTTAAGTAGGAGTCAGTACACACCTGCCATCATTTAAAGTGCTTCTGATTAACCCCAAATAAAGTTCAGCTGTTCTAGTAGGTCTTTCTTGACATTTTCTTAATCGCATCCTACAGTAAAAGCCATGGTCCGCAGAGACCATCCACAGCATCAGAGGGATCTCATTGTTAAACGGTATCAGTCAGGAGAAGGGTACAAAAGAATTTCTAAGGCGTTAGATATATACCATGGAACACAGTGAAGACAGTCATCATCAAGTGGAGAAAATATGTGATATTACCAAGAACTGGATGTCCCTCCAACATTGATGAAAAGACAAGAAGAAAACTGGTCTGGGAGGCGGCCAAGAGGCCTACAGCAACATTAAAGGAGCTGCAGGAATATCTAGCAAGTACTGGCTGTGTGGAACATGTGACAACAATCTCCCGTATTCTTCATATGTCTGGGCTATGAGGTAGAGTGGCAAGACGGAAGCCTTTTCTTATGAAGAAAAACATCCAAGCCTGGCTAAATTTTGCAAAAACACATCTGAAGTCTCCCAAAAGCATGTGGGAAAATGTTATGGTCTGATGAAACCAAGGTTTAATTTTTTGGCCATAATTCCAAGATATGTTTGGCGCAAAAAAAAAAAACAACACTGCGCATCACCAAACGAACACCATACCCACAGTGAAGCATGGTGGTGGCAGCATCATGCTTTGGGGCTGTTTTTCTTCAGCTGGAACTGGGACCTTAGTCAAGGTAAAGGGAATTATGAACAGTTCCAAATACTAGTCAATATTGGCAGAAAACCTTCAGGCTTCTGCTAGAAAGCTGAACATGAAGAGTAACATCATCTTTCAGCATGACAATGCCCAAAGCATACATCCAAATCAAAAGGAATGGCTTCACCAGAAGATGAAAGTTTTGGAATGGCCCAGCCAGAGCCCAGACTTGAATCCGGTCGAAAAATCTGTGTGGTGCTGTGAAGAGGGCTGTGCACAGGAGATGCCCTCGAAATCTGACAGATTTGGAGTGTTTTTGCAAAGAAGAGTGGACAAATATTGCCAAGTCAAGAAGTGCCATGCTGATAGACTCATATCCAAAAAGACTGAGTGCTGGAATAAAATCAAAAGGTGCTTCAACAAAGTATTAGTTTAAGGGTGTACACACTTATGCAACCGTATTATTTTAGTTTTTATTTTTACTTCCCTCCACCTAAAAGATTTCAGTTTGTTGTTCAACTGAGTTGTATAGTTTATAGGTTACATTAAAGGTGGAAAAAGTTCTAAAATGATTTATATTTCTTATATTTTTACATCACAGAAACCTGACATTTCAACTGTTTCCTGTCCTCCCTATACCAGAAGTACTGCTACAGGGCGGCCTGGGTGCGCAAAATTGCGGCCACGGCTGTCAATCAAAAAAAATGTAAAAATCCTCCTGCGCTATTATGCATAACGAGCTAATAAGCAGCTAGCACTAAAACGCCACAACCTCGGCACCAATAGGGGATGCAATATGATATAAGTGCAATGCTACAGAACATAAACAAAATGAAAACAATAAACATGAAAAGCACAAATATAACACATCAATGTGCAACAGGAAAAAAAAAAAACATACACTTGCATAGAGCTGATCCCTTGTGAAGAGGATCCTCAATTGAGGGATCAATAAGTGCAATCAGTGTGTGTATCCCTTGCCGGGAATAAATAGCATGCAACTAGGTGTATTAAAGGATAAAATATGCGGAAAACACCATGGGCAGCCAGATAATCAATAAATGTCCATAAAATGGAAAAAACACTCCTCATGCAGGTGTGAGCAAATTCGTGCCAATCCTCAGTGTCTGGGGTGCCCCCTCACCTTCCTGCCCAGGCCCCTCAGGACCAATGAGCCTATCAAGCAATTTGTAAATGCTATAAAATTTCATGTAAACCAATTAATTTACAGGTATTGGGATTTTTTTTTTTTTTTACAAAGACATGTGGCAGAATACATTTTGGCCTAAATTTATGACAAAATTTGATTTCATGTTTTTACTGGACATGTTTAGTTGCAAAAAATTTAAAATATTGTTTTCTCTCTGAAAATTGTTGGTCTTTTTTTTTTTTATAGCACAAAAAAAAAATGCACAGGAAATCAAATACCACCGAAAGGAAGCTCTATTTGTGGGATAAAAAGGACGTAAATTTCATTTGGGTACAGCGTTGCATGACCGCGCTATTGTCAGTTAAAGTAACGCTGTGCCATATCGCAAAAAATGGCCTGGTCAGGAAGGGGGATAAATCCCCTGGAGGGCAAGTGGTTAACAGGGGTGTGTAGAATTTTTATATCCACTGTATATATATTTTTTTTAAAAACAGAATTTAGTATCACTGTCAACCAATGATTCATACCTGAAAGCTGAAGATTCCATCAATAGAAAAGTTCTTTTACTCCCCTCTGCAGTGGCTTGTGTCTTCTTCACTGATAAAGAAATACAAAATCATTTACTTATTAATTGGGGTTAGAGATATATCAATGCAAACAGCTGAAAAAACAGCTCTGTGTATCTTTCTCTGCACTGCATCTCTGTGTTTCCTGTACTCACAATTTTCTTCTTGCATCACGTAGTCTTTTCATGCTCCATACCGTGGAGTGTCCCTGTCAGAAGTGCTGTGTTTTTTGACAGTTGCTCAGCAATATGCTAGAAAAAGAAGTAAATACGCTAAGGAAGTAAACTCAAATCTCTAGAACTAGTCTCTTTAGGTTTAATGATTCATGGGAAATAACAGGATTTCAATTGCACGCCTACCTATTTACCTCTCCCTAGTTTTATTGTCATGTATGTTTGTTTCTTGACAACTGCAGCAGCCCAAGTTAACCCTTCACACACACAAGGTGCTATTTTGCAAGTGGATCCAGGATGAGAGAGGGACTAGCTATGATCTTAGATTGTAAGCTCTAAGGAGCAGGGCCCTCTGTTTCCTCTTGTACCAAATTGTATTGTAACTGTAATGTCTCCCTTATATTGTAAAGCACTGCGCAAACTGTTGGTGCCATATAAATCCTGTATAATAATAATAAACAAAAATAGAGCAGATATAGTGATCTAGTAGATTGCAGTCAGCCATCAGATATTCTGAGTACATTACAGCTAAGGATTGCAAAACCTTTATTTCTTTGAGTTAAAATTTTCCGTTCTCTTTCAGCACTTCTGTACCTTTTTTTCTCTCTGTAATGCCGGCCATACTGTACATGAGTCAAAATTCGACCGATTTTTTTTCGTCCAAAAATCGGACCTAAGAATAATCAGCTGATTTTCGCCCTGTTAGTGGGTCAATGGCACCGGCCAATTTTTTGTGGTTCATACCCTTTTCGGTGATCGGGCACGTTGGAAAATGGTCAAATCGTACAATCGTTTTTCCGAAAAGAATATGCACATGAGCCGTGATCTGGAAGGAACAGAAGTTTTCCTTGTTATACGGGGTGAACTTTATGACTTGGTCGGCCAATTTTCTAAATCATTGATGGCACCATCAGATTACCGAGCATTTTTGATTTTTGGATGAAAAATTGTAAAGAATTCGACCCATGTATGGCCTGCATTACTCTCTCTGTCCTCTACTACCTAAATGGGGCAGTAGATGATGCATAAGGTAAGCTTATTGCTGCCATCTGCTCAGAATCCAGCTTTAAATTTAGACCATACAATATATCAGATTTGCAAGATATTACATATTGCAGTTTTAGTCTACCCCAAAATGTTTTTTTTAGGGAATATTTTTAAATGATGCAATTTATTTGTTTTCCTGCAGAAAATATACATGTAATATTATACAAGTTCTAACTAAACCCTTTCCCTTATGAATTTCATTAGTTTAGACATAAATACAGTCTGTTTTTTTTTGCTTGCTGTAAAAAAAAAGAAGGGCGAAAAAAAAAAAAAATACTATTAAAACAATTTTGTCACTGTTGGTAACAATTAAAAACCAGAATAGAAGAGGGTTTATACTCACTCGTTCTGCTCTCCATTTATTAGTACTTCATTCTTCTGCAGACGTAGTTTCACTTTTAGCCTCCCAAGTTCTAGTTGGTGAGAACAGCTGACAGTCTATTATCCGTGTGTAAAATACCTACACG